TACAACACCATAACTTTTGAAACGTTCAAAAAGCGTGTGTAGGTGTTGAACATGTTCGTCAATGGAAGAACTAGCGATTAAAACATCGTCGATATAGACAAATACGAAATCCAGACCTCTAGTTACTTCGTCCATAAATCTCTGGAAGGTTTGAGCGGCGTTTTTTAGTCCGAAAGGCATCCTCAAGAATTCAAACAAGCCAAAAGGTGTGATTACAGCTGTTTTCTCGATATCCTCAGGTGCCATCGGTATTTGGTGGTATGCTCGGACTAGATCTAACTTTGAAAAAATCTGCTTTCCATGTAGATTTAAAGAAAAATCATGCAGGTGAGGGATCGGATACCGGTCTGGGATAGTCTGGTTATTCAATCGGCGATAATCTCCACATGGGCGCCAGTCTTGATCTTTCTTGGGAACCATATGCAGCGGCGAGGCCCAAGGACTGTTAGATTGTCTGATTATCCCAAGTTGCATCATATGTTCGAATTCTCTCTTAGCGAACTGCAACTTGTTTGGATGGAGTCTTCTCGCCCTGGCGCGAATAGGTGGTCCTGTAGTAGTAATACTGTGTTGGACATGATGTGTGGAGCATTCGTTTTGGTAATCAGCTCTGGTTATACTTTCATACTTCGACAGGATATCGGTGAAAATTTTGTTTTCAGGTCTTAACATTCGGACTCCATGAATTTCGTAACTGGAGAGAGTTGTGCCACTGACCTGTAAGCTTGTGTTTTTGTCGATTAGTTTCTTTTTTGCCATATCTACAAGTAGGTTGTAAGCACCGAGAAAATCGGCCCCGATAATGGGTTGTTTGATTTCAGCTACGATGAAAACCCATGTGAAACGTCTCCGGAGACCGAGATCTAAAATAAGTGATTGTTCGCCATAAGTTTTAATGACTGTGTTATTGGCTGCGACTAGAGACAATTTAGTACTCTGAGGGTGCCGTCGTTGAGAGAGGTGTAATGGGATAATGCTGATTTCGGCTCCTGTATCGACCAAAAAATCTGAGCCCGAAATTCGATCCCTGACATGAAATAGACGGCTCGGGTAGTGGCCAGAAACAGGCGCCGCCATCACTGTCTGGCCGGGTCGTTTCCCTGATTTTCTGTGTCAGACGCAGAAAATGTGCACGGTCGTGTACAACGCCGTGCTTTGGTGCCGTATTTTTGGTGGTACCAACAAACATCAGATGTTCGCTTCGGTGACCGAGACCGTTGTCTAGAAAAAGATCTTCGTCTGGAGGGGGATCTCGATTGTCTAGCTTGGATGGTTGCTATGGTCGATTGCAGTGACGCCAGCTGGCTCGTTAATTGTGTTAACTGCTTTTGAAAGGAGGCTAAACAGCTAATATCTGTTGGTCCAGGTGGTTGCAATGAGTTCACACAGTGATTGTCGTGGTATACTTCCATCATTTTATCTGCCATGTCGGCTAAGTCATCAAGTGCGACGGATTTCCCTGAAACACTGAGAATTTGTCGAACGCTGTGTGGTAATCTTTGAAACCACATTTGCTTTAGGAGGGCTTCGTCTAGCTTGTATGGACCGGCGAGTTGTTTCATGTGGCGGAGAAGTTGCGAGGGTCTTTTATCACCCAAGTCACAAGATGTTAACAACTGTTGTAGCCTTTTCTCATCTGAGACCGTGGTGCGTTGAATAACTGCTGCTTTTATCTTATCATATGGTTCAGATTCTGGCACGTGATCGATTAAATCACCAACTTCAGCGGCAATCTCGATAGGAAGTGCGCCGACTACGTATGCATACTTTGATGCCTGGGATCTTATGCCTCTAGCCATGAATAAAGCTTCAATTTGAGCAAACCAGACTCTGGGATTATTAATACAGTACGTTGGTAATCTTAACTCTGAGATAGCGTTGATCGAGTTCAAAGCATTATCCTCTGGTTGTGGAGAGTTTAGAAGGTTGGTCGGTGAACTATCTATATCGATAAGTTTACCCGGAGAGTTCATAATGACATAAACAAAAAAAAATGGTGTCGTGCGAAGTAATAATAATAATATGTAGATATATATAGTAAATGTCTATAAAAAAAACCGAGGCTCACCAAATAATTGTGGTGGACCAGACAAATATGAACGCAAAAAGTATAAACAAAGTTACTAAAGATAAATAGTAATATTAATATATACACAGTTAATTGTTACAAATACAATAAAAATTAGGGACGTTACTTAAATTGCCCAAACGTTGCGTGTTCTGATTAGGTCCAGTAATGTAAATCCACAATTATAAATGCTTGATGACTCTGAGCAGGTTGGCGAACTCTCTAGCGATATAGTCCAACGTAGGATGTGATATATTCCGATTACAGTCTATAAATGTAGATAGTATTTGATTTAGACTTCCGTTAACTCAATCACAAATGGAAATAGAACGAGGAATGCGAGAGTAGTAATGTATTTGTTAGTCGGCAAGCATATACCACGCTATGTAGTAGCTCAACGGAAAGTGTGTTCAAGGTCAATGACTTAAACAACAGGTACAATCATTTAATGATAAATGTACATGCAGTGGGAAATTGACAAAATAAATACAAATAATATTAAAAACTATTTACAAAATAAGCTTGTCAGGTCTATCTCCACAGATTAAGTACAAGGGAAAGTGTGACCACTACCACATGGGTGAGCCCATGGCATAAGATTAATTGATGCTCATAGGTTTTCCTTGACCTTGAAGGGGAGCGATGAACTGTTCGACATTCAGTCACCCAACTGCAGGATGGTTGACCTAGGGCTCAATGACATTTCGATCACCCTACATGGTCAGTTCCTCGTCACTGATGTGACTGTGACATGTTCGGGTAAGGCGTTCTTTTCACAGACCACTTGATAAGAGAAAGGGAATCCCACTCTAAGTTTACTATTTGGCTGTTTTTGAATTTATTTACCATGTCCTCTGAGATGATTAGTTCTCTAGAGAGCAGAAGGATAGGACACATTAACACCTATGTAGTTATTAGACAAACTGAATGCCAGAATAAGGTCATCTCGCATTTTAAGCTGAGAGAAAAAGGTTCAGACGTTTCACGTGCTCATCATAAAAGAGTTTGGAATGACCCTTCACTAATCTTGCTAAAGCAAATGCTATTTAAAAAACATAACAACAGGTCAATAATATATGAGATGAGTACATGAGCTATTAAAAAGTTTCTTGCGAGTTATCAAAAGTTGCTCGTCATACAGTAAAAAAAACTAGACAATTATGACGTTTTAAGTGCTCATCATAAGGAAAGATCCTTCGCCGAATTTACTGCCATACAGTTAACACGCTCGAGTGTCTGCATACATGGACCCAGTGCTTTCATACAGTACTATGGTTGTAGCACTACGTAGGTGAAGTATAAAATACGAAACGTCCCCTCGTCAAGGCATTTTAGTGCGCGTCGAAGTGACCACAGCGCTTGAGAACATTCGGCGGCTGTTGAGTTGAAGTGTACAGTTGTTTTAAAGTTATGACATACCGTTGCCTCAAAGTCTTTGCGTTCCTGCAAGCGTGGAAGTGATGAACCGTTGATAGTTTATTGGTATATGTTGCCGTATTTTATGTGCATGAACACAATCTTTCTAGAACTCTTTCCCTAGTCCAAACTTCGAGACCATCCAACTTATTCACCTAAGCTTGGAAATCAGGATGATCAGCTTCATGGCATGACGGTAATTTACGGACGAACCAATTACATCTAAGATAGAAGATCTCAGATTTAGGCGCGACATTCACTCATCCATCTGTCTAAATACCATTTTGGCACTACAAATGATGTCATTTCGTGATGAAAATATATAATTTAATTAGTAACCCCAAAATTCAACTGTAAATTCTAAGCCTAATTCCTCACACTTATATATAACCCTAATTTGCCCCTGTTAAGTCGACGGACATTGCAAGGTCATTTTAGCGTTGCTCGAGGGTCATATATAAACCATATTCGTATTCTAGCTTCTCATTTATTGATGACTCTGTTTTTATTTTAGTAAGTGGTTTAATTTCAAGTGTTTCGACAGTTACCGCGCACCCACTAACTGGATCTAACGTCCCAATTTTTTAAAGATGCGGGTCTCAAAAACTCTTTAAGCCTCGACTACATAGTTCCAATATTGTTTATGTGTACTTCGGCTGTCGAGTACACAAAATGCTACTTGTGTATAACAAAACGATGCAAATTCAGCGGATATTTAGGCGAAAATGCGACAATTCAGCAGATATAAAGGCGAAAATTCGACAATTCGGCGGATATTTAGGCGATAAGTCGGTAATTTGTCGACAAAAAGGCGAAAAAGAGGAAAATCCGCATCATTTCCCCCGGACAGGCGAAAAAGGCGACATTCTGGCGCGTTTTCCCCTTTATTTCCCCTTTCGCTACCAAAGCATTTACCCCTTTATTTCCCCTTTGTTCGCCTTTATTTCTCCTTTTTGGGTTGTCTAGGGAAGCTTATGTAGGAGTCCGTACGCTCTCCAACCCAAGTTCTCAACTTGGGGGAAATTTTGGGGTTATTGTGCCATTTCCTCGAAGTATAATATGGCGGCTTCCCCAAAATCCCCCAAAATGGGTCAAATTTTCCCTGAAATTAGGCCCGATCGGGCCTAACCAAGTGGATAAAAGGCTTTCGCGTTGAAATCCGAGATCTATTATCTTATACCTGATTGATCCACTGACAAATTATAGTTTCGCTGTTTTGTTTGTTATGGCCGCTCAATTATCACTTTTTGTGCAAAATTCTTTGTAAACCTATTAAGCATTGAAGTTGGCGCCGTAACCTTGAAATCTCTAAAGCGCTTCTGATTGGCTAGTCCATAAATTAGAGTCTTGCCGAGATAATTGCTACTGCATGCTTCTCTTAATATCATACTTAAAGGTAGTTTGTTGATGATAGCATGAGTGTACGGTGATAATTTAGAGTGATCTTGTCTATATCTAAACATATTTTCCTACAGTATTAAACATTCACTTTTCTGTTTTTTGTTACAGATTAGTAATGTTCAAGAAAAATAAAATTAGTAAAACTCAAATTAATAAATCAGCGAACTTACCCATATCAAATATACCAGTTTGTAGTAATGAATCGAAAATAATCAATCACAGAAATTGTGTACCTGATGGAACTCCTCTGTCTGTTGCATCATTTCAACCAAATGCAAAGCCATTTATAACCAGTTCATCATTTATTCCTACTAGTTCCACATCGTCCTCTTCATTGTATATGGAAAACTTGTCAGTAAAAATTTGGGAATTATATAGTAGCACAAGACAAAGTCCTTTAAAATATGAAAAGAAAGTTCGTCTACTTAATGCTTTACATATGGTTGTATCAGGAGTGTTCGAAAGTAAGTAAAACCATTTTAAAAGAGTACCTTTCTTATCCATAATTATTATATGTAACCTAATTCACAAGAACTTAGGCTTAATTTAAACTAATTTATTCACCGGATGGTTGAGTATAAGCCACGCTATAATTGTAATAGCTAACAATAATATTGAAGTATACAAGGTGGGGTTCAAAACAGAGACTTAATGGTTGAACTTCGAAAAGATAGTTTCTCTACAGCTCTTTCTATATACAATGAGGCACCGGTTCCGTAATTAATTCACTTGACTTTTAACCATTAGTCTAGTGATTTCAACTTCATTCCATCATGTTCCGTACGGGGAGGCTGTCAGTGTCGCTAACCTCTTCACCGATTGCACGTACATGTGCTTGGTAAATAACTGACATGATAAGCGAGAAATTTTCATATTATCACAGTTAGAGATATCTTTGTGCTGGACTCTGGAATAAAAAGTTATCAGTTACTAACGAAATTAGTGCTTTAATTGTTAAATGTATTTAAAATGTACCTAATTCACGGTTTGGAATCCCAGGAGGAACATCGGCTGAGGATTCTCTTTACTAGTGTGAAGAACAGTTCTTCAGAGACTAAAGAATCAAAATTTCGGCCACTTATTCATAGGCTGAAGCCACTCAATCTCTGGTTTGGAAAACGGTACTATTATTAGCCTTTATATATAGAATATAACTCAACTCCAACTAAACGAATCTGTACCTAGTAAATAAGCCATATTTGTTTTTTCAATGCAATCAAACGTTGACCCACAGCTTTCTGCCGACTACCTCCAACGAAATGTTCATTTATCAGTAAAGTTAATCCATAGAAATCGTCTCAGTATTTTTTGTTTTAAGCCCTGACCTTTGTAGGAGACTTTTGTATTGATGTCTAGAATTTCGAGTTTTTATTGCCTCACTTTTTTAAGAGAGCATTCGAAATATTTTTACATCACACAAAAATGTCTAACTGCATTGATAGGTAATCCAAAAATTTAAATGTTGATTTAATTCCAGTCTTTCATATATCTTTTTTATATTATCATTAGTGGTAACTGGATTTCGAAAATACTTAAAGATAGTAGTAATAGCACTAGTCAGCTGTTAGGGGAGTGAAGTAGTCGAACGAGTTGACAACCCCACTTACTTGGAAGTCTGATCAGCCCTAATGGGTTGGTGTCTGACGAAATCTACGCGGATTCGAAAAGCTCGTTTGGCCTTTGCCAACTTACGTCACTTATGGCGAAGGTGAAATATCCGTCTATCTATAAAAGGACGAGTATACTGCCCGGCCGTTCGTTCTGTTCTACTTTAAGGCTGCGAAACGTGGTCAATAAGAGTAGGAGATATTCGTAAGCTACTAGTATTTGACCACAGATGCCTTAGAAATATTGCTCGCATCTGCTGGGATCACCGGATAAGTAATAGTGAGGTTAGACGCAGGGTATTAGGGAATGATGGCAAATCAGTTGATGAGTTTGCTAATCTTCATCAACTGAGATGGTTGGGCCACGTGTTACGTGTGCCTGAACAGCGATTACCACGACGCGTAATGCTAACCGGTGTTGGAGATGGTTGGAAGAAAGTTAGGGGCGGCCAAACGAAAACGTGACATCAGTGCTTGAAGTCATTAACTCCTGGTTTGAGTCGTGTTGGTGGTAGATGCAGACTACTTGGTTGGGATCCATATGACTATCATAAGTAATGGTTGGAGATTCTGGGTGACATCTCAGGATCGATCACAACGGTGTAGGTGTGTACACTCTCTATCTTCCATTAAACTGTGAGATTAGAGTCGCTTCATATCTTTCTTTCTACCAATTAATTCTTTCTTCCTGTACTATATCCTTATACACAATCTTTTTTATACATTGACACCACTGAATTAACTACTATGAATCCGGTCTTCATCTTGTGCTAATGTGGTATGGTAACTTGGACCGTTGCACATAGTCCTTGAGTTATCTACTTTGACAGGTAATTTTCTAAGAACGTGAAAAATTATTTCATATTAATTCAATACACTTTCTTCCTCCTCTGTGTGTTTTTTAAAAAAAATAGATGCTGGCCTGTATATTGTTGGCTCTTCAATAAATGGTTTCGGTTCAAATCAAAGTGATATGGATATGTGTTTACTTGTAACATCACGCGATTTACATCAGAAAAGTGAAGCAACGTTTATATTAAGTCGACTTTTACAATCATTAAGAAAATGTCGTAAGTTTTAATTATATTGCCATTACTATTACTATTACTAATACTACTACTAAAAGCCACTACAACACCGTGTAAAAGATATTGCTCGCATCATCTGGGATCACCGGGTAAGTAATAGTGAGATCAGACGGAGGCTATTAAGGAATGATGGTAAATAAGTTGATGAGGCTGTGAATCTTCGTCGACTGAGATGGTTGAGCCACATGCTACGTACGCCTGAACACCGATTACCACGATGCGCAATGCTGACTAGTGTTGGTAATGGTTGAAAGAAAGTTAGGTGTCCAAACGATAATGTAGCATCAGTGCTTGAAGTCACTAACTTCTGGTTTGAGCCATGTTGGTAGATGCAGACTACTTGGTTGGTGTCCGCGTGACTATTGTAACCAATGGTTGGATACCCTTGATGACGTGACTCAGAATCGATCATAATGGCGTCGGTGTATACACTCTTTGTCTTCCCTTGAACCGTAAGATTAAAGTTGCTTTATACCATCATTTCTACGAAATGCCCTGGTATGGCCGGGAGTGGGGTGGGTTCGCCCTCCTTCTCGAAATGCTCTCGTACGGCCACTCGTATACAGCCTCTGCCAGGGAAGTCCTACTCATCGCCTACTCGTGGCGAGGGTGTTGTTTACGAAAATGAGAGGACGAAAAGCGAATGTTCGACGCTTTAACCGGATCCCAAACCAATGGTGCACATGGGCTCCAGTATCCTGAGAGAACAAATGGCGTATGAACCAATTGTTGGTCACCGGCTACCATGGGACTGCATCTCCTCACGATGTTCCACTGCCTTGTGGATCAGACCTTTAAGTCAAAGGCTCAGGGTGTGGCCCCCTAAGAAAACCACCTGCTTCGGTTGGGCACCCGGGCAGTATCACAGCCCACACACACAAATATGGTGTGGCGCATATATATTTGGTGCCCTATTGTACCGATATTTATGTGTTGAAATAATAATAATAATTCTACGAAATAATTATTTCTTCCTGTACTATATCTTTAGACACAACCTTTGGTTTGTATATTACTACCAATGAAGTAACTACTTCTATGAATTTCTTGCTCATCTCGTTGTGCTAATGAGGTATGGCAACTTGGACCGATGCATATATGTGCCTGGTCCTACTTTGTAGCTGACTGACCGAGATAGTTTTGAATTTGTTGAAAGAATTAAAATTTTGAAGGTGAACAAGAAATTCATGATAATACTTGATATATCTTTATTTAGAACGTACCTTTCATAGAAATGGTTGATTTCATATATGGTTAGTTACAAAATCGAGAAATGGGGATTGACATTCGAGTTTCCTCTTTAAAGTAATTAATACTCAGATATACTATGAATATGTATTTGTTGTTTAATAAAGAACTCTACAGACAATGTGAAGGTATCGCTATGGGATCATCATTAAGTCAAGTTCTAGCTGATTTCTTTCTGACAAAATTAGAAAACGGTCTTCTAAAAAGAGTGATAGGCAAACTAGAATTTTATTTTCACTGCATGAATGATACATTTATAGTCACAAAAAACAATAGTGAAGCTCAGTTTACCAAAATCATTTAATAGAGTCCACTAGGCAATCACCTTCACAATGGAAGAAGAAAAGTACAACACCAACTCCTTTCTAGATGCCTTATTGAAGAGAAGAGCTGATAGATTCATAAGAATAAGTGTTTATCGTAACCTGACTACACAAAAATAATATACACACTTTTCTCTTTACCTTCGTCCCATCACACTATAAGAGAAACTTAGTCAAGTGTTTAGCCCACAGAGACAAAATTATTTGTTTTGAGGATAATCTTGAAGAAGAATTAAAGCTGTCAAATTATTAGTTGTATTTTTTTTTTGTGTAATTATTAGACAAGTAGTTTACGATACTGTAATATTCTTCTAATTGCAATCTTTCGTTTGACGCATAATTTACTATTGTATATTTCATCTTTCTCACACTACTATGAACTAACCTATTGTTTAGTTTCCCTTTTATTTGTGCTGTAATTATAATCGGAAATGCGATTTCCTGTTCATATTACTCTGTGATCAGGAATTCACACTATTATTGTATGTGTTATGTAATGGAACGGATATACAATATAGAGATTTATCAGTTTAGGGTTGTGGAGATTATTATATTTTTGATCGAGACCATCAATCGATTGATGTTACACCATCATTGAAAACCTGGAAGCACTGGACGGCCGTTTCGTCCTCCTAAAACCCCTCAGCAGCGCGCACCAATGATCCCACTCGCGGGATTCGAACCCCAAGGGTTTACGGTCTCGCACGCGAACGTCTAATCTCTAGACAACTAAGCTGGCCGGCATCCAACGGTATTAATGTCTAACCTCGACCAATCCACGACCATCTTCCATTGTACAGAGGTTCGCGTTCGCGCGCAAGATCGAAGGCCCTGGGTTCCCATCCCGCGAGTGGGATCGTGAGTATGCACTGCTGAGGAGTCCCACAATAGGACGAAACGGCCGTCCAGTGCCTCCAGGTTTTCAATAGTGGTCTAAATTGACGACAATGTCTTTTATGCAATCACACATTGAATATGATGTTGTGAGTAGGCTAAAGCATCCTTGTGATATGGTAGATCGTATCTAAGCGAGGTTGATGAGTTAAACGTGGTATTGCGAGTAAAAAATGTCCCCTTAGTTAAATCGCATATCCAAATGGTAACTCTATTTTCAACCCTATCATACTTGATGGAAAAGCTCTGGATGATGTGGAGACTTTCATGTACCTGGTCAGCATAATAGACGTACAAGGAGGATCGGATGCAGACGTAAAGGCGAGGATCGGCAAAGCAAAAGCCACATTCCTACAATTGAGGAACATATGGAACTCAAAACAACTGTCTATAAATATCAGAGTCACAATCTTCAGTATGAACATCAAGACAGTTTTACTGGTACAACCATCATCAAGAAGGTACAAGTATTTATAAACACTTGTCTACTCAAGATACTCAATATCCTTTGGCCGGATATCATCAACAACATCTTATTGTGGGAGAGGACAATTCAGCTTCCAGTTGAAGAGGAAATTAGGAAAAGACGTCGGAAGTAGATAGGACATATATTGCAGAAACCACCAAACTGCATTATTAGGCAAGCGCCCAATTGGAATCCTGAAGGGAACCGGAAAAGAGGAAGGCCAAAGAACATACTGCATCGAGAATTGGAAGCAGACATGAAAAGGAAGAATAGGAACTGGAAAGGATTGTCCAGAACAGAGTTGAATGGAGAACGCAGGTGGGCGGCCTATGCTCCTCCACGAGGGGTAACAGGCGTAAGTAAAGTAAAGTGACTCTCTATTTTAACTCACCTTGAATCTCTTACCTAAACCATCACGAACTTGACTTTCTTAACCTTTTAAAACTCTCAACCCTAATACTCTTAAGGTGACCATATCTCCGAATTCTACATCTTCTCTGCATACCATTTTCTTAACACCAGCTTACATAAGATGACTCTTTTTTTCAATAGTCTTACATACTATGAATGTTCCACAATCATATTATCACCAAAATTAACCGGAATGAGGACTTTTATCAAACTACCAATATCAGATAAGTACTTACTTTACTTACGCCCGTTTCTCCCAATGGAGCATAGACCGCCGACCAGTATTCTTCAACCCACTTTGTTCTGGGCCTTCCTTTCTAGTTCTATCCAATTTTTGTTCATTGTTTTCATGTGTGTCTTCATTTCTCAGCGTAATGTGTTCTTTGGTCTCCCTCTTTTCATTTGGTCTTGAGAATTCCAAATGAGGACTTGCCTTGTGACGCAGTTGGGTGCTTTCCTCAATGTGTGTCCTATCCACTTCCAGCGCTTCTTCCTAACTCGCTAAAAAATGCACCAGATAAGTAGGTTAATCATAACAAACCATTTAAAAAATAATCCCACCTAAATTAAACACTTGCTAACTAACTACATTCTGAATTCTCTTAGTATTGTTTGGCTTGTGTCTTCCCATTGAGGTTTAAGACTGCAATTGATCAGTCTGTTATTGGCATATGTGTATACTGTGCGTATGCCTCGATATTACCTTAATTCACAAGCTATTTGTAAGCTCAGTAGCTGAGTGGATAACGCGATGGCGTTTGAAGCGAATGGTACTGGGTTCGAGTCCCAGAGTGAACATCAACTCCCTGAGATGCAGGTACATCCAGCTGACGTGTCCCAAATAGGACAAAACGCTCGTCCTGGATTCCACTGCTAGCCACTATCCATCATTGCTTACAAATAACTACATTCTGATTGATCGATTCCATTATTATTATTATTATTTCTTATTTCTAGACTATTGGTATAGTTTCCTTGTAATTGAACATTGACTTTCTGATAACTGAAACAGGGTAATGTTTCTAATGCCCCCCCCCATGTACGTTTGGTTTCTTGTCAACTTTGTTCCTCTAATATTTTTTTCTTTTTTATCATCATTCTATGTTTGTGTAGGTTTCCTTTATCATTTCACCTTAATTCGTGCTAAAGTTCCAATTATCAAATTTTGTGATAGATATACTGGTATTGATTGTGATTTAAATGTAAATAATGTAAATGGGTTATATAATACATATTTACTAGCTATGTATGCAAAAAGTGAGTAAAATTTCAATGTTGATATTTCTACTTTTTTTTGTTTAGTTAAACACATAAACATTGGTGTAACAAGTTTTTACTTACTTAGGCCCAATGGAGCATAGGCCACCGACCAGTATTCTTCAACCCACTTTGTCTTGAGCCTTCCTTTCTAGTTCTATCCAATTGTTGTTCATTCTTCTTATATCTGTCTCCATTTCTCGGCATATTGTGTTCTTTGATCTTCCTATTCTCTTTTGTTCTTGAGGATTCCAAGTAAAGGTTTGCCTTGTGTTGCGATCGGATGCTTTCCTCCATGTGTGTTTTGTCCACTTCCAGAGCTTCTTCATGATTTCTTCTTCCGCTGGAATCTGGTTTGTTCTCTCCCACAGTAGGTTGCTTTTGATCCCGTAGAAAACTAACTCGCTAAAAAACGCTAACCATAAAATAATTTCAAACTGTTGGCACAACGAGGCACTAAAAATATATATACACCACGCAAATCACTGAATTTACATTTGAGTGGGATATACTACCCGGGTAACCAAACCGAAGCAGGTGGTTTTCTTAGAGAGCGCCACTCTCCCAGTCTTTGAACCAGAGGTCTAGTTCACTAAACAGTGGATCAACATTAAGGAATATGGTCTCGTGTTAGCTGGTGACCATGAATGGGTTCATAAACCACTTTTTCCCTTTGGGATGCTGGAGCCCATGTTCACTATTTGTTTGCAATCAGGGTTCTCCAATTCCCCTCTGTGCAGATGCTCCGTACCCAACAAACCAGTTTAAACTCCAACCGGACATTCTCTTTTCGTCTTCTCAATTTCGTAAGCAACACTTCCAGCACGAGAAGTCAGCGAGGCTATATACGCGTGTTCACATAGGAGCATTTGGAGAGGAAGGGCTAACTCTCCATGCCGGCCATACCAGACCATCGAGAGGATGTTTATTAGATACATATGCAAAATATAATAGGAATTCAATACAGACATTATTTGTAAGATGGAATTGATTTTTTCGCTGTTAAATTTTACTAATGAACAAGCTGAAATTTTCACAGTGCACATCTGTTTTCATGTTATTTACTTTTTTTATGAATGGCCCTTCTGACATTCACCTCAATTCATTTCAATATCACCAGGATGTATTGAAAAAATGTCCATATTTAATTAAACTTGAGTTGTGAAAATCCGTGACCACTACAGTTCAACACTGCTGGGTGTGAGACAGTAGATACCATAGGCAATGGATGATGGTTACACAATACCATAGTTTGATTAAACTTGAACATATACATCGTTAGATGCCGACCCAGTGGTCTAATGATTAAGCATTCGCATACGAGACCGAATGTTCTGGTTTAGAATCTTGATTCTTAAGTTGTGGATGCACACTGCTGAGTTCCCTACTTAAACGAAACAGCTGTTCAGTGCTTCTTGGATTTCAGTAGTTGTCTAACTGAGGTCGGTTTGTGATTAAAACTTTGAGGATACAATAATATCTTGCATTTTCCGGCTTGTTTGGGTTACTTGATTATTGAGTCAGCTAGTGACTAGAGATTGATATCTGCTTTGCTGACCTCGTTCTCTGGTTGGACAGTAGGTTGTAATAAGCTCGAGGGCAAATAGGCTTGCAGGTCTCTGTCTCTGTGCATTAGTGATTACAATACCAGGTCATATAGTGTAAATGATTACAATGAAAGCCTGTATAACTACTGCAAAATGTGTAATCCATTGGTAATTGAATAGTTTTATTTGTACATATTCTGTATTAGTGGCACAACTTTCTTTGCTGTTATTTACTAAGTTATCTGGTATTACAACGGTCTCCTAATCAGTAACTTATGGATCACGAAATTTTGATGCTTATCGATTCAACAAACTCTCTCTAACCGCAGTAGTTATTCAGAGGACTAGCACAGGAAAGAGATAAACTTCTTATTATTGTATTCACCCTTTTTCTCCTCATAACTCAAAGGTCTATATACATGAATTACATGACCACAACGCATCACAAATACGAGATCATGTGTGCATAACTATACGACAAGCGATATAAAGCTGATTATTGAATTCACAACAATTATTGGGTCATTTGGATTCTTACAATAAGGGTTATTACATTATAAAGGTATAATCATTCTATGTTGAATAGCTATAAAAGTCTCATCTCTCCCAATTATTTGTCCCAATCTAATAGCTTATAAGTCTGCAACGATTGAAATAATTTAGATATGCCAAGTTCGTCAACTCCATCGCCCACAAAACATTGTAGTGGCTGATTCTATGTCAAGTCCACATAGGCTGTTCTAGCTTCTGGATACACCAATTTATACATTCATTTCAAGCCACATTTTGACCTCGTCAATTATTCGCTTACCAATCCTGACTTTATATGATCGTACGTGTTTTAATTGCTTACCCTATTCATTATGTGTCTGTAACCTATTTTTGTCTAAATATAAATATTGAATGATGCTTAAATAAATAGGGTTAGCTCACTCGCCTTCTCCACCGAGCGTCATTTCGTCTCGCTTTGCTTCGCTCTCTTCTATTTGCTTCCTTCACTTCGTTTCTTTATTCGTCTGTCTGGATCAACGAGTGTACGAAATATACGTACTAAAATATCATTCTCGTATTTGACTTATTTATATTCCTTTATTCTCTAATGCGATTTAAGTCGATGATTATATACGAGGGTTCGCGGCGTGTATATTTCGATAACAATCAACAAACTATTCAATTAGAGTCAGATACAGGAGTCGCCCGTCGATACTATCACTGTTCGATGTAATTGGCTTCAAAATGAAAGGCCATACTGAAAGATAATTGGTAATGGTGAGTGCTTCGTGTTGTGACTTTACTGTGAATCACTGAATTTCCTTTTTCACCTCTGTTAAAATATGCGACAATATTAATACTAATAATCATTAATCGGCTAATCTATTTTCTTTGTTTCTGTTATCTTTAAAAAAATTTAGTTGATTGGCGTGTTAGACCATTGGGAGTTTTCATTAAACATTGGGCTCAATGTTTGGATATTCATGATGCTCAACGTGGTCGTCTATCCACCTATTGTTTACTTCTAATGCTTATTCATTATCTTCAACCGCTTGCATCCCACCAGTTCTACCTAATTTGCAAGAAAAGTTTCCAGTATGTGTTTGTATATGTATGTTCTCGATCTTGTGTCATCGGACTAAAAAAATACATACTTCTAGTGGTATTATTACTGTAGACGTCAGTTAGGAAAAAGCTAAGGGGCGGGCAACCGTATAAAAATAGGGTTTTGATCTATGATTTTATTGACTGTTTTAACTAAAACCTTAATAGTTCCAAACTACATAGTTGTGGAGACCATATGATAACTACTATTAGTGGTTAAAGAGAAATCGTCAGATATCCATCAAAATCGGTCACACTATGACGTCAATCCATTTATCGATTGTATTATCTTTGACCCTGAGTTCCAGTATTCTTTTCATTCTGTTTTTTTTTCGAACCATCTTTTCAGTATTCGGTCTTCATCATCATCATTACAACCGCAATAATTTTCATCTCAACTTCTTTGTTATTCGTCTTGTTCATTTTATGTCGTCTTACTGATGTGACATGGTAATATGACAAAGTAAAATGACGTTGAGATGGTGGAGAAGATTTGTAGCTCAAGTGGATGATTTTGATGGAGTTTTGTTCTCTGAACTGGGATGATTTGGTCGTGAAGCTTTCATTGTGTTTCTGTACGACATCATCAGCACAAACTTTAGGTAGAAGTGAAGTGTTCGAATTTCTCCACATGTGGTTCAAAATCGAGGTCTACAGGAAAAAACTGTGAACCACATTTGGAGAAATTCGAACACTTCACTTCTACCTGAAGTTTGTGCTGATGATGTCATTCAGGAGAACGATGAAAGCTCCACGACCAAACCATTCAACTCAGATAACAAAACTTCATTGAAATGACGTTATTTAGGTCAATATTTTCTCGTATCAATTCAGTATAAACTTTGTTCTCTATGAATTCTTGTTCAATATGATAATTTCATTCACTGCACTAATTCAAATGAACTATATTTCATGTGTGCTTTTATAGTAACTGTATGTATTCACCTGTATGTGATACTATTAATTGTGTGAAATTACTTATATGGAACGATCATGTTTTAGTCTAAAGAGGATGCGATTTTTGGACTTGTCTAAAGAAAAATATTTTTGGATGGTCAATTCAACCTTCATTGTACCAGACTTTTGTGTTCTCACTTTGTGTCATAGGAATTTCAGAAATTCCCGATTGTTAAGTAAAAGCAGTAAGACTGAAGAGTGACCAGAGTCGATGCGTGCATAACAGCGACAACTCAGACATAGTAGTTGGCTACTCAGTTACACCAGTATCACCGGAGCTAGTTTTCTAGTTATAACAGTGGAAACGGGAATGAGAATATGATTACGTAGGAAAAATTGTGGACTGTCACTTCTTTGTAATTTCAGCTATTGCATTAAGTTGAATACCATCACCAGTAAAGTTTTAAAACATCTGTTGAAACTATTCAACTTGCTCACGTGCAATTGATCATTAATTAGGCTATTCAGAATCCATATATTCATCATTAACCTGGATATATACTCGATACATTTACAATTAACTGACACTTGTCTTTTTCTTCAGTGTATTGTTATTTCAGTTGCCCTGATCAGCGATCAATGATTCTATCCTTTTATAAACAACTTGAATCGAATACTAGAAAAATCGATCGAAATTCAGTCAACAACTGGATAATTTATACACTTACTACTACTAATAATGTAAATATTATATCCATTGAACATGTTAATGGCTATTTGAACCCAATAACTCATTATATAATAAGTTAGGTGTTTGATGGAAAAGATACACTGAATTTTAGTGCCGATGTGATCATCGACATTGGAATTCAGGTCTGTCTAACTGTTATGACCTTGGATATCTGATTTTTCTATCACGCGATTTATCTACCAATCCGGATACGACTTATACGAATCTTCACACTAGGCCAACCAATGACGTTCAACCGGTGTGGGCAGTTTAGCGTCCTTATTGGTCCTATGTCCTACGAGCCCTTCCACTTGAGTCCAGAACAAAATACCAGCTTCCGAATCAGAGCAGATCATTTATTTCAGACATACTTGGTTTATATATCAATCAGACAAACCGCAACGTACCATAAAATAGGAAATAATATTGTACACAAATAAGCACAAAAAGTGGCTGTGAATGAGGGAGGCAGTAGTTAATAAACTGAACATAACTTAAGGACCGTAAATCGTACAATAATAAATTATAGATCAAAATAAAGCTTATTATAAAAGGAATATAAATATCCATAGTGTAATTGTTGAGTAGTTATACAATAAGAATATTTATAGAATATTAGTCCATGAATAGTCCTCGGAAGTTACCTGTAATTTAATCTCCACTCGGATATAACACTAACTGATGAGTCCTACTTAAGACGAAACTCATACTAAACTCTATAGCTAATCACAATTCATTTATTCTAAGTAGCTTGGTTCGAAGTGAATAAGACATGGTCATGTTAAATCGTATTATTTATTTGAACACATAGTTGTTAGTACAAAGGGGCACCGAATACATATGCGCCATACAAGTCACTCGATTAGTGTGTGGGCTGTGATTCTACCCGTGTGCTCAGACTGAAGTAGGTGGTTTTCTTAGGGGGTCACTCCCTGAGCCTTCGACCTGAAGGTCTGATCCACAAGGCAGTGGAGCATCGTGAGGAGATGCAGTCCCATGGAAGCCGGTGACCAACAACTGGTTCATACGCCATTTGTTCCCGCAGGATACTGGAGCCCATGTGCGCCATTGGTTTGGAATCCGGTTAAAGCGCCGGACATTCGCTTTTCGTCCTCTCATTTTCGTAAACAATACTCCCGCCATGAGAAGGCAATGAGTAGGACTTCCCTGGCAGAGGCTATATACGTGTGGCCGTGTGAGAGCATTTCGAGAGGGACAGCGAACTCTCTCCACTCTCGGCCGTACCAGGGCATTTGGGGGCTATTGATTCTGAATCATCCTAGTTGTTGTTATTTAGTCTTCCGTAATCATTTATTATAATTTCCTTCTCTGTTTTTTTTAATTTTCTTCATAGAATTTGTTTAATTACACCATGGAACCATATGAATTAGATATGAATATTGAACTTCCATGGAATGAATTACAATCAAATAATTCTAATAGTTTAGCTGAATTATTTACTGGATTTATTTATTATTATACAAATCAATTTGATTTTAATAAATGGGCTATTTCAATTCGTCATAAAACACCATTTATGAAACATATAGCTATGAAACATTTACCACCCTATGAACAAGGTTATATTGTACGAAATTGTAAAATTTTCATTGAAGGTAAATGGTTATTTTATATTGATTATGATCCATACTATGTGTATTATTCATTTTGATTGAATTTAATTCATCTCATGACTAAATAATAACAAAGGCATATTGGTAGATGTAGACTACTTGGTTGGGGTCTATGTGACTATCGTAACCAATGGTTGGAGACTCTGGATGACACAGCTTAGGATCGATCACAATGACATAGGTATATACGCTCTTTGTCTTCTCTTAAATCGTGAGATTAAAGTTGCTTTATACCTTTATTTCTACGAACTAATTCTTTCTTTCTGTACTATATCCTTATACACAATTTTTCTTTTATACATTACTACCATTGAAGTAACTATTTCTATGAAGTTGGTATTCATCTTTTCGTGCTAATGAGGTATGGCAACTTGGACCGATGTGTATATGTGTTGTAGCTGACCGACTGACTGAAACTTAACGAGTGTTTTTTTATTCAAGTTGCTTTTAGCTACAAATTATCATAGCTTCGAGAAGACCAGATATGGGCTCTTTGATTAGATCGTCCATTAAAAGAGCAGTTGTATTATTTAGTTCGATTATCGACTTATTCGAGAGACTAATGATTTATTTTATTAATAACATAGTGACCATTAAACTACTTGATTTTTTAACTATATTAAGTCTTACATCCGAAATGCTCGCTATATAATTCAATTTGAGTTTACCGGTTATTGTCATCAGCTATCACATGTAAACAGCCAGATTCGAACTCCACCACATTAATATATACGTGATAAATGAGTAGTTACCCTAAAACTTTATTAAAAGCGTTAATTGTCTATACTGATGATTATGAGGCAAACGAAATCTTTTTTCCGTTTTATAAAGGCAGTAATCCACGTTACCATATCATCCAACTGTTAGTGTCATTTTGACTTGAATAAGTGTTGTACTGTATGCATTGTAGACAATCAACTGGATGAATAATAATTGATGAAGTAGTTTGTGCGAAATTCCCGTATGATAATTGAACTGCTTATGAGTGGTTAGTATTCTTTTTTCCTTGTATCTGTTGCTTAACTTAACCATTGATGAACCAATTATCCCCTTATTTCATTGAAATTATGAACTGATCAATGTTAGACCACAATCGAAAGCTCGGAAGCGCTGGACGGCCGTTTCGTCCTACTATGGGACTCCTCAGCAGTGCGCATCCACAATCCTCCCTCATGATCTAAACTCTCAAACTTACTATAATATCCACAAAACCCCTCTGATTATAATCATCATATGCTTCAAGAGGTATTTCCTGGAGTTCTAGTGAAAATCCATGAGCAGTGGGATTTAACCAGGTCTGTTGTGAGATAGCAACTCACTGAAGACAATGGTAGACTGTCGCCTAAATTCGTGAATTAATTGAAGTTAGACATTAACACCGTCGGATGCCAGCCAGCTCAGTGGTCTAAAGGGTAAGCGACCGCGCGCAAGACTGATAGGACCTGGATTCGAATCTCGCGAGGCAGGATCGTGGTTGCACACTACTGAAGAGTCCCACATTAAGGCGAAACGGCCGTCCAGTGCTTCCAGGTTTTCCATAATGGTCTAGCTTCAATTGACTCATGATCACAACTATTAAAAGTAATTCATGTTTTTTTAGTAAGTAAATTTCTAGATTTTATTACTACAGTTTTTTTCTTTCACCCCTCCCCCCCTCCAAAAAAAATAAAATAATCACTAACCTAGAACCATTCTCTCAAACAAATGCTGCACGATCAGTACATTCTGATAATATTGTATCATATATTAAACAAGCATTTATTAAAACAAATGAAATTCTCTCTGATCAATATCCTTTGGAATCAATTATGAATATAAGAAACAATTGATTTATATTGATTATTGTAATAAAGAAAAATATCGATTAGATAATAATAATATGTGAATATTTATACTCAATGGAGAATGTTGTTGGGTGACGGTCTATACTCTTCCACGAGGGTAATCGTTGTATGTATGTAAGTAAGTGAATATGTAATATACTCACATTTCATTATATCTATAAACTGTCATTAGTCAGAAACTAATTCAATGATGATATTTGTATTCTTACAAAGTTCTTGTTTACTAATTTGTACATTCCCACAATAAGAAATTTTGATACATAACTTGTTTTGTATAGATAAACGTTTCAATGTTCCTTTCATAAAAAAAAATCAAGTTGAATAGTGTTAATGTAAAATACACTCGTTGAGTTCTTTCATCATCATCATCATAAAGAGGATCTTTGTATTTGTCTTTGTGTTTCTTTTAGTTTTTTTTAAATATAATTCATGTCATACATGTCGTACATATCTATCTATCTTTATTCTGTTCAACTTGATCATTGAACAAATAACTTGACTTGTTTGTTTTAACTTATTCATTTCCGAATTCTTTCTTTTTAAGGGGGACAAATTCAAATTTCTAATAATAAAAACAAATCATTTGTGATCTTTCTTTTTTTCTGAAGAGGAAGAAGAAGAAGTGAATTTAATGTTGAGTCGTTTATCTGTCAAATGTGTTAGGTCACAAGTTCGAACCCCCCCACTTCAGCCTCAGTTAGCTCGAACGTATGACCAGGCACATATTTACATCAGTTCAAGTTGTCATACCACATTAGCACATCAAGATGAATACCGGATTCATAGAAGTAGTTAATTCAATGGTGGTAATATATAAAAAAGACTGCGTATAAGGATATAGTACAGGATTATTATTATTTCAACACATAAATATTGGTACAAGAGGGCACCAAATACATATGCGCCACACCATATTTGTGTGTGTGGGCTGTGCCCAGACCGAAGCAGGTGGTTTTCTTAGCGAGCCACACCCCGAGCCATTGACCTAAAGGTCTGATCCACAAGGCAGTGGGACATCGTGAGGAGATGCAGTCCCATGGTAGCCGGTGACCAACAATTGGTTCATACGCCATTTGTTCTCTCAGGATACTGGAGCCCATGTGCACCATTGGTTTGGGATCCGGTTAAAGCGTCGAACATTCTCTTTTCGTCCTCTCATTTTCGTAAACAACACCCTCGCCACGAGTAGGCGATGAGTAGGACTTCCCTGGCAGAGGCTGTATACGAGTGGCCGTATGAGAGCATTTCGAGAAGGAGGGCGAACCCACCCCACTCCCGGCCATACCAGGGCATTTCGTAGAAATGATGGTATAAAGCAACTTTAATCTTACGGTTCAAGGGAAGACAAAGAGTGTATACACTTACGCCATTATGATCGATTCTGGGCCACGTCATCAAGGGTATCCAACCATTGGTTACAACAGTCACGCGGACACCAACCAAGTAGTCTGCATCTACCAACATGGCTCAGACCAGAAGTCAGTGACTTTACAGACTGATGCCACGTTTTGATCTGGCCACTCCTAAATTTCTTCCAACCATCCCCAACAATGGTTAGCATTGCACGTCGTGGTAATCGGTGTTCAGGCACACGTAACACGTGGTCCAACCATCTCAGTCGATGAAGATTCACAACCTCATCAACTGATTCACTATCATTCCTTAATACCCTGCGTCTACTTTGGTACAGATAGCTAGTGTAGCATTACACATAAATTGTGAAAATAAGACTGAGTAATATAAATTCGTACTTGGTGAGTTGTGTTAACTTATCTTCAGTCATTTGTTCTCTGCTACTAATGGATGTGAATAGGGTCAGTGTTGTTTTGATCACTGACTATTTTACAAATTATTTATGTTCAGTATTATTCGGGTTGATTGAAGCATTTATCACATTTCCATAAATTCTTCCCTTCTAGGGAACTAATTCAAATATGAATTGATTTGTAAAAGTGCTTAAATCTTCCCGTTGTTCATGTTAAGGACTGCTATTGATTAATCTCATTTGATGATATAATTTATATATTGTGCAATTTACTTTGATATTGTCATTAAGTGACAAGTATGCTAGGAAAAGTTGAATAGTGGTTGACAATTGATGAATCCTGAATAGGACGAAATGCACATCTTATATTTTACTGTTGAAGCTTTTGTTCAATTGCCTAATAATGTTCCTATATCGTTAACACATATATTTTTCTTTGGTTGTATGAAAATGCATGATTGAGCACATTTGACAGCCTACATATATATTTCTCTTTATTGTTTAAATATCAGTTGATGCTGTACTGAAATAAACTGTTACAACAATTTTGTTTTACCTTCTGGACATTGTACATCATTGGAACTTATAGTATTAATGGTTATCAAGGATATCAATGTACGAAGCATAGGGATAACTTTGGGGATATTCCGTAACACACTTTTTTATTTATTTGAACACATAATTATTGATACGAAGGGGCACCAAATACATATGCACTACACAAGTCACTTGATTTGTGTGTGGGCTATGATACTGACAGGGTGCCCTAACCGATGCAGATGGTTTTCTTCGGGAGTCATACTTAGAGCCTTTGACCCAAAGGTCTAATCCACAAGGCAGTGGAGCAACGTCAGGAGATGCAGTCTCATGTTAGTTGGTATCCAACAATTGGTTTGTATGCCATTTGTTCCTTCAGGATACTGGAGCCCATGTGCACCATTCATTTGGGATGAGGGTTTTCCAACTTCTCTATGTGGACTCTCCGTGTCCACCAATCTAGTTAAAGCACCGGACATCAGTCAGTCAGTAACAGCGTAGAACTTCGTACGTACGTACATCAGTTCGAGTTGCCATACCACATTAGCACAGAGATGCAGTTGTCGAATCACATCCCGTAGTGGTAGAGGTAATAAGAGTATAAGCAGTAATCCGAAAGATTAGGGTTTGGAGATGTTATTTAAAGAGTATAATCCAGTGAAATAAATTTGGAAAGAGGAAAAAAGGGACATGAAGGATTCAGAAGATTAGAATTTGGGAGAACACAGAGAGTGGATGCACTTGCGCCATTGCAAACGATTTTGAGCCATGTCATTCAGGGTCTCTAACCATCGGTTGCTATCATCTCGCGGTCCCCAACCAGGTAGTCTACACCTACCAACATGACTCAGTTCACTTGTCAGTGACTTCATGGACTTGTGCCATGTTTTGGTCTGGCCGCCCCTAGCTTTCTTCCAACCTACTCCTATACCACTGAACATAGCACGTCGAGGCAGTCGGTGGTTGGGCATACGTAACACGTGTCCAAGCCATCTCAACTGATGAAGTTTCACTACTTCATCAATTGATTTGCCATCCTTACCTAGTACCCGTTTCCTAACAACTGTGTTACTTACTCGATGGTCCCATGATATACGAGCAATGTTTCGAAGACACCTATGATCAAATACTAGTAGCCTACGGATATCCTCTACTCTTACCGGCCATGTTTCACTGCCATAAAGTAGGACGGAACGAACTGCTGCGCAGTAAACACGTCCTTTGGTTGATAGACGGATATCTCGCCTACGCCATAAATGACGCAAGTTGGCAAAAGCTAGTCGAGCCTTCTGTATCCGTGCTGAGATTTCGTCACACACCAAACCACAAGGGCTGATGAGACTTCCAAGATAAGTGAAGCGGTCGACACACTCAACTACTTCACTCCCTATCATTGGTTCGGGTGTCGATGTAACCCAATCCTGAAGCAACATTTTGCATTTCGAGGGAGAGAATCGCATCCCGAACATGCTTGCATTGTTGCTTAGAGTGGTCAGAAGACTCTGCATTTTGTCAGCGTCTTCACCAAATAAAACTATGTCATCAGCATATTCTAAGTCAACAAGTGAACCTCCCGGTAGAAGTTCAACCCCTGGAAATTTAGATGAGGAGGACATACTCACTTCGTCCTCTTAATTTCTTAAACAACAAACGTGGTTCGAGAAGGCAGTGAGTAGGACTTCTCTGACAGTGGCTGTATACTCATGACCATGTGAAAGCATTTGGAGAGGGAGAGTTGACTGTCCCTACCCCTCGACTATCATCTTGTACACCATAGAGACTAAACGTTTAGAACAATATTATTAAGAGAGAATGAAAAACTTTCAGTGTTATAATTCAAAACATCAGCATTCATATTCACTTAATGTCTATCTAATGATACTCAATTTGTGTGGTGTTTTTTATTCTTCTAATGACAAGCTTTATGTCATATCAGGACGAAGATTTAGGGAACGGTAATCTACAGAACTACGTTATGGATGATTATTGTTACGTATATTTTTATTGTATAATTATTAAGTAACTAGATTACCTTGTCTATATATTCCACTTATCATCTTAAGCTTTCGGTTGACCGTTAAACTGTTTCTATTTTGTTGCCAGTCTATAATTTACAGTTTCTCCTACTCCCAACCATTTTTGGCTTGTTCTTGTATAATTGTTATTTTCTATTTTATGATGTAATTTGGTCGGTTATATCTGTATATAAACTATGTCTGTTTGAAATAAAATATGGTATAGGCTGGCAGGGCAGAGAGAGATGTTAGAGAATTGTGGACCAATAGGAACCTAGGTGTCGACTCAAAGTTAATAGTGCTGGTCAGATATGGAATTGGTCGACTAACTCATAGTCACTCAGTCATAGAGTAAATAAGTGATGCTAAATAGACCAAATTGGAGTCGGGATTCTGATTAGTTACTTTTCACGTGGTGTTAGTAAGCAGTCATAAAATATGAAACTTCCGTTTGACTCAGCTGTTGTGGTATTCTTTTCTTTTCTGAACTTGTTGCGAAGTAATTACATGCCTATTACTCAGATTATCTACCCTAAATGCATATATTGTAATCTTTTAAATATTTGTTATGCCCCAGTAATTCATGTATTTAATCATGGGAAGTTTTATAGTCGTATATACAGAGGCCAAATTGACTATCTTTTTCTTCGTTTTTTTAATGGGGTTCC